AACAAAATGAACGTACGATTTACGCACTTTATTCGTTAATATGTGCGGAATACCGAGGGAAATATTGGAGAACGTGAATTATTTGACGCCAGATTTTCAGGAATAGAAGCAATTGGAAAGAAAAGCTATTAAACGATAGCTTAAACTACAATTTTTTTCCTTGGAAGAATACTGTTTTCAGGACTTCCAAAATCGAAACGTGAAGATGCACGGATGCGTCTGTTCCATGCTCTTGGCTTTGTTGCTGAATCGACAATTTTTGCTTTCGAAATAAGCGTGTGTGAGCCATATTTCCACGATTCATTGTTCCGTTTTGCTCAAATTTATATTTTGGATGAAGTCCCTTCAGCAGCTGAACAAGTTGAGGAAGCAGCAAGCTCTTCAGATAACATCAAGGGAGCTTGGAATTTTCTTCATGATCGTTTCGCTCTTCTTCTTAGAGCATATGGCAGAGTAATCGACCCAGTTAGAGTAACATATCCAAAACCGTCCGGATTCAGCATTTCATCTGATACAATCCGCAAATCTATGATTGAAAGGTTGAAATTATCAGAAATAGAAATTTTGCAAAAAGCGAAAGATTTTTGTAGCAAACAGCTGCTAGAAGCGGCGTAATCAGTAGAAAAAGTTTCTTCTTAGTTGAGTAAAATTCTGCCATATTTAAATCGAGATTTCTTATTTTCTTGTTTTGTATGTATTAAATTTGTCGATAAATTCTTAATATTCTCGCCGAATTAGCAGTTGACTGTTCTTTTTGTACCCTAAAAATGCAGATTTTATCTGGTGAGTACTCAAACCAGGGATTTATTAATAGAAATGTGAATGCACAACTAATTAAATTTAAATGTTGAATTTGGACAAACGAAATTCGTCTGTATTGTTGAACAGTAAGGGTAGCTAGTATATTAACAGTATTATGCATTTTAACGTAATCCTTATGAAAATGGTGTTATTTTCATGTGGAAAAATAATAAATGCCAAAATAAAAGAAATTTGTAAAAGACGCTTTTTTTTTGGAAAAGGATTTACAATGCATTTTGTGAGAGTGGAAATATTTTAAATTAGAATATTATATTGCTGATGATGTTAAATGTTTGGGAATGCTTCAAGTTCTCTTTAGTTATCAATTAAAGCAAAAATGCAGCTCGAAACATTCTTGCGAATCAACAATAATTGCAAATGAGAGAGTAATTTGGCAGTATGGTAATTTCAACTTCCCTCATTAATCGTTTTCTGCAGGCTAACTTTGAATGGTTCTTCAGAATTCAAATCCCTTTTTTACTGTCGGTGATGTAATTGCCTGCCGGAATCGTGTCACACAAAAAACAATGATTTTTGTACTGACAAGGATGAATTGATAAGAAATGTGTGGAACATAATTTTGTATTTGTAAAATCAAAGTAATTAGATTTTTCTTTGGTTTAGTGGCTTATCTAGTTTGTACAGTTAGATTTGAAATCATTGTTGTCAAAATTGGATGGTGACACTTACCTTTCTAAAGCACAAACTACACTATACATTTTGACCAATGCTTGTAAAGAAATGAAAGGTAAAGTATGGCAAAAAGATTGATGTATTTTTATTTGTGAGGTTGTAGTGCCTTGACAACGAAGGCGTCATTTGTCGGTGAAGTATGCAAAGATGAAGAATAGTCGTACAAGAAACATTTTCCATAATTTGAATGACGTGAATGTATGGTATGTATGTAAATAATGAGTACTTTCTTAGACTGTTTTTATATAATACGGAAAGAATTACGAAATTGGGATGATCAGATTAGAAAAATTTAAAAAATGTCAGCATTAGGGAGTTCAACTATGAAATTAATGTTCTAAAATAGGTGATGCATGATTATTCTTGAAGGAATGATTGGTTTACTTCCCATTCAGTTGGACTCTGTCTGAATTTTGGATCACTTAAAATGCCGACGTCATTCGATTATTCGCTAATTTCTAACGGCAGTTTTGTTATATTAACTTTCAAGCATCACGATTATTTGATCATTTAATCAATATGCCTTTATTTAGTATTACTGCACTTTTAGAACAAAAGCAGTTAGGTTTCCAAAAATTAGTTTAGAACTTAAATTGTTTTTAACGGTTAATTAGAACAGCCATTCTTTCATGCATCGATTTAATAAGTGTCCACTCTTTTGATGGAAGTGGTCTTAAGACAACATCTGCCACATAACATGAATTGTTAGATCTAAAGATCCGATAACTGGATATAGTGTAAAACCTTATGATTGCTCTCTCTGTCAAATATGTTTTCAGGAGAACATAAAGACGTGAAATCTTCTGATCCCAGTTTAGATTTATGATTGAGAAAAATTAGACGATGCGTAATATTTTACTATCAACTATTTGGTTCCATGTTCTGGAAGTGATACCACGATGTAATGGATGTTTAGCAACCAGTACGGTGACAACACCAAAAGCACCACTAAAAGTAACCACTTATAACCCTCGAACACCAACAACAACTGTTGCACCAAATGTTCAGTGTTTCCCGATAGCCAGGTATCGATTATTTTAAACATATTTTAGAAGGAATACTGGACCAATGATCGAATCTGTGATGTGATCATTACTAGTGATAAGGCTGTAAATATTACAATAGCCTTATGACAATGAAGTTGAGAGTATTAAGCAAATTACTCCAAGAGTGTTATACATCTGGACTTGATGAAATTGGGCAATGATCATATATTGTTTAGTTCACTTAACAGTTGGACATTCGATAGTTTGGACCGGTCACTCTAGCAGGCGAAACAGAGATTTTTATCAACGACTACTCAATTGCTTATATTTCGATTTCATACGAAGCAGACTTTGCAGGCAGAAACGTGATTTTCCCTCTTCAGCTTCCTCAGCTTCAGACAGTTTGTCAACAACATGTTTGCCAACAGATTATCTGGAAACTGCGGTAGCTGAAATGAAAGCGGGTTTGATAAAAAGTGATTCATCCAATTCCGAACGAAAGGTAGAGGAAAACGCACTTTTCCCTTTAGCCATCTCGAAACATCCAGCAATCGCCATCGAACATCGTACAATTAACGATCATAGTAACAACGGAGAGCTTTCATCTTCTAATCATCCAGCCAAAAAATGTTAGTGAATATTTCAGGAATAATGTAGCTAAGTTCCTTCCTATATCTTTTCTTCTAAGCATATTTGCTGAAAAAGATATCCGACAAAAGTTTTTTGCAGTATGTCAAGATTTTGAATGGGATGGACCGATTTATCTCTATAATCAATCATTGGGAGTCAAAATACCGTATTGCTATAAGGTGACATATTCTTTTTTCTAACATTTCATAATATTAATCAAACAACAAATCGCTTGAAGGAAGAATTATTATTAACATATAGTTGCTATCTATTTTCCAGTATGTTGCAAGCATTGACGAGGAAACGGATGAGTTGACCAGGTTGACACAGAAAAGCGCACGTGAGAAATGTCGTTCATATAGTGGTCAAAGTGATGGACCATCTGATTTAGTATCCATTCATTCTTCCGATGAAAATTATGATTTGCAAAGTATAATTTAATTCTCAAATTACTTTTAAATTTAGAGAACACTAAGTCCTGCCAAGCAAAAAGAATACTTGGACAACCCTACCTTAACAGATGGCAGTTAATGACTCACTCTAAAATTCCATTCTTCTCGTCAAAATTCACCTATTCTAGGTACGCTATCATTTTTTGGCTGGGAATCGGTATGGATCGGCCTTGCTTATGACAATGTACGTAGTACATGGCGTTGGATAGATGGTACAACTCTGTCATTTTCAAAGCTGTCACTTCGTGATCCATCCCAGCACTGCGCAATACTACTGACCAATGGTTCCTGGGTTTCAGAAGACTGTAAAAGCAGCGCTGTATCACACTTTGTTTGTAAAAAACGAGCAATTACATAAAACAAAGCATGTTAAAAGAAGTACAATTTTTAATCGTATTTGTTTATATTCAACAACATCTATGATGAATATTGATCGATTCATTGAGCAGAAGCAAAATAAATCGATATTCCTCAAACCAATCTTTCTATTAATTCTTCTTTCTTAATAATATTCATTAATTTAGATTAATGTTTGAAAGCTCTATTTGAACATTAATTATCTTTTGGAAAACGAAAGTTGCTTGCATTGCTAAAATCCTTCTTCCTCTTTTTTTTTCTGGTAATCATAAGAAAATACTACAGAACTACAATTACCCAATCCTTTTTATATCCAGGCTCAATTATCGTATCATTGTATTTGCCACAGGTAGTACAGTTCACTAATTCCTGATCTGTTGATTCTATTTGCTAATATTTGAATAAATTCAAATATATGATACAATCGTTATCGTTTATCCCTCAAACTGTTTTTTAAATTGTAATAAGATGAAGCATTTATTCTTTTTTAGTTAAAATGATCTTTTCTTTAATTCATTTTGATGGATGCTAAGAATAATAAACGAAAATATCAGTTAACTTATTCTATCATATGATCGTAACTTGGAAAGTTTTAACACATTGTGGAATATATTGTCAAATAAATGTTAAGAATTTAAACAATATTTATGAAAAAAAGAAAAATGTCAATGGAATGGATTAAAAAAGCAGTAATTTTAGGAAGCGTTAATTGGCTCAGATGTCAAAGTAAGTTGCATTTAAAAGTTACTTATCATTTTATCGTTGAAATACACAAATTCATCCATTGACGTTCCATTTACTTTACATGTCTGATATTGATTAAATTAATTTAAGGCGACAACATATTGTATCTTAGTTCTATCTAATCTATCCTATTTGCAAAGGTTTAGCAATATCTGTATTCCGTAGGAATCTCATGTTCAATAATAGGAGCATTCCTTTAATCATTTAATTCAAATCAGGTCAACCTTAATGTTTGATTTGATGAGTACGCCATTATTAAGTGTTAATATAACCATGATTGATGAGGAATTAATTATACAGAATGAAATAATTGAAATCCCTGAAGAGCTGAGAAGTGATTTCTAGAGATACCAAAAATTTCTAAATTGTTTTTGTTGCATTTAATTCCTGAAACAGAATGGGAATTAGTTGGAACATTAATGAGGACACTTCAGCAATGTGATAAAATAATTTGAAAGTTTGGAATCTTTTCGAGCTATTTCATTTTGAAACATGTTTCTCAAATACAAAGTGAATGTAATATTGAACTGTCTATCATCGATCTAGCTAAATTCATCGGTAGTTTCCTGAACATCACCAAATGTCATCAGCTATACAAACTCGTCCAATAAGAAACAAAGATCTTGCACTTCTGTAGGTTCAATTTTACAAAATTTCTATTTCTACCTGAGTGATCCCTCTTCCTTCATGGATCGATTTACCGGCAATTGCTTCACAATATATTCGCAAAAACTTTTCTTGCACAAAGTAATCAATAAATTCAGCGAATTATAAAAATCTGAAGAAAAGGGAAATTATGTGAGAAGCTTCGGGATTTCTCGGAAGTCGTAATTCAAATAATTAGACCTATTTTGACAAATAAATTACTTAAATCACTTAAATCACCAAAAATAGCCTATTTTTATCAATATTTCTATTTCTAATTATAAAAAAGTAATTACAAGGTATATAATTATATATGTTTGAGAACAGATTTTATTAGAAATCATTTCCAACAAACAGACAATCAGATCAATTCATTATCATATTATCACTTAAAATACATTGAAATTAAAGGTTTTTGTTACTCAAATAATTAATCAAATAACAGATCATATGTAATCAATAGTAGGTTAGTATGAGAATTTCTTCTTCCCTCAGTGTTTACCGTAATTTCTCACTTTTTTCGTATCTTATATTTGATTATCTGCGAGATGGTTTGGGATGATGAATGATATAAGTGATAAAATGGTTCATTATAAAAGAAGAAAAGATGAAAGAAACAAACGGGTTCTATCGCTACTCTTCAGATACTCAACAAACGATACGGTAATATCACTGTACTATTTCGGACGAAACAACTAAAGAAACGAAACTATGTAGAATTAAATAAATATATAAATGATTCCGAAGTTACAAAAACCAATCTTACCTTCGTCAATTCATCCTCAGAAAATCCCTCTCTCGCTAATCGTTCCGGAGAAAATTCCGCTTCCGTAATTTCAATATTAATAGCTCACTTATTCTATCGATTACAACATAGAATCTTACAAATCTTGATCACACACGCAATTACAACTGTTAGAAGGAAAAACTGACGATAAGAAGAATAATGCTGCTTAGTAATGTTGCTGCTGTTAACAGGAAGGTTCATTATCAATGATAGACCATTATCTGTGAAAGTGATAACAGTGATTTCATAAGATTTTGCAGATGCAAAAGTCTAATTACCTTATCGCAGAGCGTTGCAAAAAGGGGTGAAAAACGAATTTAAGGAAATTTCAGAAAGCATACTTATCAGTGTGTTTGAATAAAATATCGATTAGTATATGTGGCTGTCTGATAGCAATTAAAACTTCAATTTTACTCATCAAAATACATAATTTTTTGCATTCTTACTAATAACAATGGGAGATCGCGGGAATTTGTGAGAATTCGAACTGTTCCGTAAAACAATAGTAATCAATGAAATGGTACTCTTTGAAGGAGCATCGTGGAATAATGCTTCTGTAGTTGGAAGAGATATTTCTCTCATTGACGGACGCGTCAGCCGGGCAATGCCGCCGTAAACGCGCGCTTTTGTTTTTATGCTGTCCTCCTTGCTAATCTTTCTGGAGTGATAGATATTTTAGGATTAAAAGTAATCGGAATATTACGAGTCTCACTGATTACACAAACTTTGATGTCTACAAGAAACTTAGGCTGTTTATGGGTGACACTGATTCCATTCAATTCGCCGATGTTCATTTTAGTTTTACCTTGTAATCTTTGAAAGAATTGAGAAGTAAATGAATAAGGAATTATTCATTACTTTGTTAAATAGCTACTTAATTTGAGCAATTCCAATTCAGCGATATATGATATACATTTTTTGTTATCACTTTGATATCATTAGAAAAGAGTGAAATGTGCAAGAGCACATGTAAACAACAAAATTACTTTCGAGATGAAACTTTTAAGTACACGGAGAGAATTGAATTTGTATAGCAAATTAGTGCGCTATCACGCAAAGATATGTTAAAAACTTGGCGACAAAGTCTTATTTGATAAGAACTTTTGGCATTTCAAATACAATTTAATCAGTGAATGGAAAACAAAAGTTTCGATTTCATCAGCAGGTCAAGGATAAGTGATGTTGTAAGGGATATAGAATGCATAGTAGTGAAACATTTATCGTGAGGTAAATTTGCATATTCTCATTCAGTTCATCTAAATAAACATCCTCACGCTAAAATTATATGCAAATTTTTGCATTACACGAAAAGATCGTTTTCTGATTTTATTGTTTGCCGATTTTTCTTTTCGATTAGTTGATGTCGATGATTGCTGTCTGGCTGCAAAGAGACTTTGTTGGAGCGAAATAGTGATAGCTTATCCGGACTGTACGAAACATTTCTTGACTTTCTTGTTAGGAAGATATCCTTGGATGATAGGATGGATGACTTCAAATTGTCAAGTATAATTTAGCAGCTAACCTTTAATGGCCTTCTAGACTAGATTTTTTGAAATTAGAAATTTATTAGAACGGATTAAATTACATGAAATATGACTTCTATGTTTTAACTTGCGAATGTCTCGCAGTTGCATTTGTATTTTTGCTTCGAGTAAATGATTGTGTTTTCATGAAGGAATATGTACACGGAACTAAAGGAACTGATCAATTTTCTGGCCATTTATATGCATCATCGAATTCCGCGACGTCGGGTAAAATTGAATTTTTGTATCTTTTTCTTTTTGATTCATTGATGACAAGTATTATCGCCGAAGGAACAAGTAACTTTTGATAGTTGTGAAAGAATAACGCCATTGATATTTTGATAATTCCAGTCAATTCAGATTTGTTTATTCATGGAAAGTTACGGCAATCATCTTGCGGGGAAATTTTTTGGAAAATGGAACCCAGAAGAGCCGAAATATGGTTAGCGGAACATATATAGCTAATAAGAAAGCATTTATTGTGAGGTGTGAAGACATACACTGACAATTCATAGCCACTTTGATGAACGCATGCAATGAGTGAATCTTGCAGAATTTGAAGTGGTGAAATTTACAATGATAAACCGTATTAGTATATAATTATTTCCTGAGATGCATGTATTGATTGCTGTTAGTGTAATTAGTCGTTGCAATTCAAAAATTAAATTTGAATTGATTCCCCGTATAATTGACTGTCAAACAAAGTCAACTTTAAACTTTTGGTATTTGCAGGAGAGAAAGAGAGAACATTGATGATCAAAACGGGGGATTGTTTGGATGGAATTTTTACCGCAATCGCAACAAGCATTGGAATTGTTGAAGAAGATCTTTCAGCGTGTTTTCCATGTTTGTTCGGCTTCTTTCATGCATATCATTTCTTTTAATTTCATCTAAATTTTAACAAATTTCTAGTTTTTAAACTATT